CYSKKGYKKKGGGTTTGGATTCTGCTCTGACAGCAGAGCTGAGAAAGAGCAAAACTGAGCGAACAGATTGGAAATGGTCACCCTGTAAACCCAGGGCTCTGGGGGAGGTGCAGAGAGAATGTTCTGATAAAGCCATTTGACCCTAACGCTGGCTGATGGAAGGGATAACACCGGAGATTTCTTTTAATATATATAGCAATCCAAATTTCTTTTTGAGCCATGAGCAGCTGCGCTGAAGTTCCTTCTGTCCATCAGCAAWATCTGTCTTGTGCTTGTTCATTCTGGAACCCCTTTAAAATCCTGCASCGCTGCCAGGGAGATTAAAGGGGTAATATAACCCCAGGAACGAGTCATTTCCCGGTGATTATTACAAGAAATGGCTAACATCTAAAGGAGGCTCAAAGTGGGGAGAAAACCACTGTTCTTTAATCTCTCATTTGTTTCCTTTGCACATTGGTGCTGCTCACCYCACTGGGGCAGGGCCAGCTCAGCCCTCTCCTGGCTGGAGCAGTTTGGGATGTCCCTGACCGATTTGGAGGAGCAGAGCCTGCCCTGCCTGCCCCAATTTCAGCACTTCATGGCAAAACAAACCCAGTAAAGGGAATTATATCCCATTTTAGTGGTCAGCAGCAGAGCAGGAAGAGGAGTTTTTCTCCAGTGTGCCTGACCTCCCAGCCCTGCACATGTCCACTCATTCCCACCCGGTTCCTCAGTCCCCACTGGAAAATACATCCACATTCTTACCCCAGCCCCAGTAAAAATATTATAATCCCTGAGCTGGAAATAGTTGGCAGCCCCAAAATAGCTCYTGCAGGCTTGGCTGCTGAGCTGGGAGCTCTTTGGTTAGGAGGCACTCGGTGCTGGGCAAGTGGAGGRATTCAAAATCCATGGATATGAAATRGGAGTTGTAAATGTAGGGCAACGTGGCTCAGTCCCACCGGGCGGTGCTGCCACCAGAGCTCCTCAATTTAGGCAATCCTGATTGCTTTCACTRAGATAATTACACCAACACCCATCCTGCTCCTGCCTGATGCTGCAAAGCACTGGGAAAACTCAAGTGGGAAATGTGGGAGCTGAGAGAAACACTGGACGGGTGACCCTGTGGGGCCAGAGGGAGGAAATGGTGCTGCTGGAGCCTTGGGATGTGGGGACATCAGGACACGGGAGCACCGGGACACGGGAACAGCAGAACAGGGACAGGGGGATGCTGAGGTGCAGGAGCCCCAGGACATGGTGACACAGGGACAGGGGGATACTGTAGCCATGGGATGACACAGGGACATGGTGACACAGGGACAGGGCCACGCTGGGGTGCAGGAGCCCCAGGACACTGTGACATGGGGACACGGTGACACAGGGACATGGTGACACAGGGACATGGGGATGCTGCAGCCATGGGGTGACACAGGGATATGGTGACACAGGGACACGGTGACACAGGGACAGGGCTGTACTGGGGTGCAGGAGCCCCGGGACACGGTGAACAGGGACACGGTGACACAGGGACATGGGGACACAGGGACACAGTGACACAGGGACACGGTGACACAGGGACAGGGCCATGCTAGGGTGCAGGAGCCCCAGGACACGGTGACACAGGGACACGGTGACACAGGGACACGGTGACACAGGGACAGCTGCGCTGGGGTGCAGGGAGGCCCGGGACATGGTGACACAGGGACATGGTGACACAGGGACAGGGCCATGCTGGGGTACAAGAGCCCTGGGACACGGTGACACAGGGACA